CTCCGTGCACTGCCCCACCCCTCCCCTCCCAGGGGCTGGGGCCTCAGCAGAGGGGGTGGGGCTGTAAGTGGGCCTGGGGGCCTGCCTCTCTCAACACCAGCTGCACCAACTGCCCAGGCCACCGGCAGAGTGGTGTTAGGGGAATGACTGTCTCTCTGCAGCATCGTGCTGACCACCGGGAAGGTTTTTGATTCATTGGGAGGGGGTTGAGCTACTAGCACAGTGATGACACCAATCTACTATCTATTTGAGTCTGTCCGTCTGTCTGCCCAAGAACTCCTCCCTACATGGTAAGAGCTAGCATTTACAGCCGGACAGACGTGCCGGTGTGTATGGAGATAGCTAGATAGACGGATGTGCAGGTGCGTGTGCAGGTAGCTAGACAGACAGACATGCAGGGGTGCATGCAAGTACCCAGGTTTGTAGCTTCCATTCGAGGTACAAGACAAGAGACACCAGACAAGGGAACAGTGCTGGCCAGTGTGGCAGGCTGTGGTCTCTGCACATGCAGAAGTGAGGGGCTATATAAAGCTCAAAGCATGGTCACTGCCAGTGGTTTGGTAGATAGAATGCGGCCTCGTGATCTGTACGCAGGACCTGGGAGGAGGGACTCTGGAGGTAACAGCCTTTCTAGGAACATGTACAGCTCCGGTGACAGGAGCAGCTCAGGCTGTTCTGGCTTCCCATGTAGCCTGGAGCAAGTCTCGCAATCTGTGTGTGCCTCAGTTTCCCCTCTCTGCAAGGTGGGTAGGATCACGGGCCAGCACTGAACATCGTCTCGTTATTGTGACCTTTCCGTCCAGGGAGGTTTCCTGAGGTTCTTAGGAAGGAGCGCAAGGGGGAAGAAGAGATGCTGCTGTCCTTGCATAGGATTCTGGGCCTGGCTCAGCAGCATGCTCTGATGTGGGACAGGCCTACAGGTCTTGTCTCTTTTATTTGGTGCAACGCCGCCCCCTGGTGCTGAATTTCTGCAACTGACGCCGAAGAGCTGGGGGAAGAGACTGATACCTAGGAAAGGGAATGAATATTCTGCAAACGTTTCCAGCTGGTTGTTTTACATTGTGTAGAGAATTGGAAAGTCAATACAAAAGGGGACTGCTCGCAAAAGAAAGCCGATCCCTTCAGCAAGAGGAGTTGTCTGTGCCACTAACCTGCCCGAGAGGCATTCAACTTCCCCCATGAATCCAGAGAGGCATTCCCTATCTATCTACATAGCTGGATGGGGCACACGTGTGCTGAGCTCTCACTGCTAGATTTTACCCTCACAATACCCGCTATCCCTGTGGGAAACTGAGGCACGGGGTAGATTAAATGATTTGCCTGGAGAGAAAGAGAGACACACACGCCCTGTCAGCGTAGCACAGCAGCCTTTATGTGCATGGATCCATGTTTTGCTCTCCCTGTTAGAGTCGGCATAAGGAACTCATGAAGCTTTTGGACTTCAAGGAAGCAGTGGACAACCTGAAAACGCCGAGAAACATGGCTCTAGCTCCTGTTTCCTCCCCCTCAGCACGTGCGCCGGCCCCTCTGCAAAACTAGCCACAAACAACAGGGAAACTGGCCCTGAGCCCACTGACACAAATGTACCAAGCAGCAGCCAGAGCAGTGATAGTGGCCAGCACTGATCCTCTCTCTGGCTGGGAAAGGTCACAGCATGTATTTACTGAGCAAGGGTCTCCCGCCTCTGCTATGGCCCCTGCTGGCCCTGCTGTCAACGATGCAGCCGAGTGCATTTGTCTCCAATAGGATCTTTTTGACTGGTTACACTGAACTTTTTTAAAGAAAGAAAGCGGCTTTGACACAGTTTGCATATTAGTAGGAAACTAAGAAAATTGTCAGCGACTTAACACCTGACAGTGGAGCTGTGTGCGGGACACCTATGGAGAAGAGGGGAAAACGATAGCCTGCCTGTGCCTTCAGCAGGGCTCAGCCGTGACCACGGGAGTGGTGCCAGGGAGCAAAGAATTACACCAAAGATGTTAAATAATTCTTGTGTGCACAGTCCGTGGTTGGTTATGTCTGCCTAGGGACCTGCATGAACACCTACAGGCCTGTTTGCCTAGGGACCTGCATGCACCCCTGCATGTCTGTCTGCCTAGGGACCTGCATGAACACCTACAGGCCTGTTTGCCTAGGGACCTACATGCGCCCCTGCATGTCTGTCTACCTAGCTACCTGCATGAACACCTGCACGTCTGTCGGCCTAGCTGTTTCCATGCACACCTGCTTGCCCATCTGTCACTGTTATATCAGAGCACCTGCCACAGAAAATCAGTATCTACGGTGACTCTTTGAAGTCTCCTGCTCTTCTCTCTGTTTGGGGTGAAGACTCCGCTTGGGGCTTTTGTTTTGATCCGTAACTTTGCTGAGTGGGTGTGTGGTATGTGCCACACAGACGAGAAAGGCAGGAAGACACTTAGGGCCAAATTGTGCCGTCAGTTTCTCACATGCTGCTCCCCAAAGAAAGTAAAGGGAGATGGGCATATGAGAGTGGAATTGGGCCTTTGTGATCAGCATGAGAGATGGCACGGGCAGGCACTGGCAAAGAGCAGGTGGGGGGGGGGGGGGGGGTTCTGCTGGGACAGGATTTGTTCCATATCTGTCTTGCGGGTTCCTCTAGGTTTTCCATCATTGTCGTTATTTTAACAAGTCTCATAGGGGTAGCTGTGTTAGTCCATAACTTAAAAAACAACAAGTATTCCTGTGACACCTTAGAGACTAACAAATATATAGGATCATAAACGGACACAAATCAGACATCAGGAGTGGTAACACACATAAACCTGTAGTGAAACATTTTAACCTCCCTGGACACTCAATAATGGAATTAAAAGTAGCCATCCTTCTACAAAGGAATTTTACCTCCTAATTACAGTGAGAGAGATGATTTTGCGGAAAAACTTGCCAGCTGTCTACACTGGCCGCTTGAATTTCCGGAAAAGCACTGATGATCTCATGTAAAATCATCAGTGCTTCTCCGGAAATACTATGCTGCTCCCATTTGCGCAAAAATCTTTTTACGAAAGACTTTTGCACAAAAGGGCCAGTGTAGTCAGCATAGTACTGTTTTCCACAAAAAAGCCCCGATTGCGAAAATGGCGATCGGGGCTTTTTTGCGGAAAACCGCATCTAGATTGGCCACAGACGCTTTTCCACAAAAAGTGCTTTTGCGGAAAAGCATCCTGCCAATCTAGATGCGATTTTTCCGAAAATGCTTTTAACGGAAAACTTTTCCGTTAAAAGCATTTTTGGAAAATCATGCCAGTGTAGACGTAGCCTGAGAGTGCAGAACTGGAATTCATTTACAAATTTGACACCGTCAACCTGGTCTCGACTAAGGATATTAACTGGCTAATGCACTACACAGCCAGTTTCCTCTGCTTTTGACATTCACATTTTCACATCAAAAGCTATGAATGGGACACATCCATCCTACTTAATTAGCTTACTTTTGGTTCTACAATTGCCAGGTAACTGCTTTTGCTGTTATATATAGCTTGAAATCTGTTATTTTCACTCCAACTGATCTGATTAAGTGAATTTTACCCACAAAAGCTCATGATCCTCTATGCTTGTTAGTCTCTAAGGTGCTGCAGGACTGCTCGTTGTTATTTTAACAAGTTAATGCAGATCTAGTCTGAGAGCGCAAAATCCATGCAGTGGCCATGGTTAGTGCTACAGATTGCTAATACGGTGGTAGCGCCTGTGTTAGCTACAGACCAGGAACCTGGTGTGCCTGGTGCTGCACAAACCCATTTCAAAAAGAGGCTCCCTGTCCCATAAAGCTCGCAGCTTGAAGGCAGCTGGCAACAGACAGGCTGAGGGGGCAGTGTGATGAGCATGGTTAGAGCCTGTGCCGGGAATGCTGGGGCGG